GGTGCTATTTGTTAAAAGTTTGGTGACACAGCCTCATAACAGAACTATACACAACTGTCCAGGTAATCTCTACTGTGTATTGCCTTACTGTACAGCAGTGCAACCACCACTGCAATGGCATGCATTGCTTCTTGCTTAGGATGGAGGAACATCCTTTTTATTTTACACAATACAGTGAATAGAATGCACAATAGGGTATGCAGGGCCGGCCACAGGTATAAGCAACATAAGCGGTCTCTTAGGGTTGTGCATCAGCAGTTTTTCTCTTGTTATGTCAGTCACTAACCACGTTTCCATCCACAGTTTTTATTTTATAAATGGCGACAGATTAAAAAAAAATTAGACATGGTGGGATCTTTTTGTGTCGTTAAATCAATTATGCGAGAAAATGGCGGTGGAAACGCCTTTATGCGCAAATGTTGATATAATAACCATCATATCGAAGTAAACTTGGAGTCACGCGATGACATGGTGTGTGGTCCTGACACTATCAATCAAATGTATTTATAAAGCCCTTTTTACATCAGCAGACTATGACTCGGGAAACAATGCAGTTTATTAGGCTACAGATGAAATAAGTTATGATGAACTTCACAGGGTGCTGAAAGTGCACGGTATGAGCTTGATGCTCCTTTCCAAAAAATGTTGAGGGTCTTATTCTGGTGACGTGATGATCGATGCATGACTGCCATATGACAAATAAAAATATTCTCTTATCCATAATAATCTCATCATGTATTGTAGACTAACCTACCTGCAGAGCCTACCCACACTGTATCTGCAAGCTGTTGGCCAGAGCGCACGTGCCAAGAACAGAATAGTCACATTTGCTATTTAACGCAACAGTTTTTGTAACTATCAGTAGAGTTGAAAATGTGATGGAAAATTCACATATTTTCTTTATGCGGATTTTAGAATATATATATATAAAATATGTCACCAATTGGATGGAAACCTAGCTACCTAGTCACTCAATTAGCCATGTCAGCAAAAAAAAATGGATTGGTAGTTAGTCTAGCCAGTTATCTAAACTTGTAGTAATCATGGCCGAATACCGACAGGGCACGCAGGGCACGTGCCCAGAAGCCCTGACCTCCAGGGGGCCCACATTGATTTTGTTGGTCATTGTCACTCAGATATCATATTAACATGGCATAAGCGGGGTTGGGGAGTAATAAGTTGCACGTAATCTGATTACAAAAAAACATGGTACTGTAATCAGTTACATTACCAGTAAAAATATTGTAATCAGATTACAGATACTTTCGAAAAACTAAAATACATGATGACACCTTTCTGTTTTCTCAATGACATTCAATTCAGCAAAAAGGCGTAGGTTTAAGTTTGTTCCACCTGAGTGAGTCTGACCACAAGTCAGACACCACTATGATGACACACCAAATGCGTTTGAGGGATCTTTTTTGTCTTCTAATGCCTATTAAATGGAAATCAGATTACGTTACTGAGTTTGGGTAATCCAAAAGTTAAGTTACTGATTAACATTTTGGACAATAACTGTAACAGATTACATTTAGAAAGTAACCTACCCAACCCTGGGAATGTCATTGCAAAATGTGTAGAATTGCAAAAAACTTGCTTCAAAAGTGCTATATTTTATCTATACCCCATGGCAAAATGTCTAGAATTGCAGGAAATTAACTTTAAAACTTAACATTTTCTTTCCGCTTTCAAGAGGGGGGCCACTAAAATGTTTTGACGCGAGCTGGGGGGCCTCCCAGACAAATCTCACTTAGGGACCCCAAAAGGCTAGGGCCAGCCCTGACGGTATGTGTTTACTTAAGTAGAAATGTCAGTCCTCCTTTATACTAGTATTGTCTCTCATACCAGAGTAGTTTGATATGTAGGTCAGTGGCCATGCGTGCATCAGGTTGTCTGTATCAGAGACATGTTCAGGTTCCTCCTGTCAGCCTGATTATTGAAGAGACAGAGAAACATTGGCATGGTCAAGTATGAAAGCCTGTGTTTTGAGATAGCTGGGATCATCCAGAATCCCCTTCCCCACACACACCCGCCACCTACAGCAACTGCTAACATGTTGGCTTATGTTAAGTTATGTTGTTCTGTTTCTGAGAACTATGCAACAGTGTGTGAGTGTTGTCTATGTTCTGAATTACAAATTGCTGTATCTTACGCAGGCACAAAGGTAGGGCCATGAACTAGGCCCACAAACCAGGGCCTGAATGCATAACTCGGTTACCATTATGCACAGCACACCAGCTCTCTGCCAGTGATTCATGGACAACAGGACAAGATGTGATTTAATAAGCCATGAAAAACGTGTAACAAATAATACAAACCTGAGAAATAGCCATACCTGCTGCTGTCCACAAAGGTAGTTGAGCTATGAAACAGGAGTTCCACTCTGTCATATGATATATTATTTCCTCCCTAAATGTATAATTATTGAAGAGAAAGTGCTTTTAAAAAATATTTTCAGTGTTCACAGTGAATCTCAGCATTTTTGCCTTTAGAAATTGCTTGGAATAAATTGCATATATTGAGTCTTGCGCCATCTTTTTCAGTATAATCTTGACTGAAGATAGTATCACTATACCAACAATAACTTAACCAGTCTAATATTTAAATAGCACTATAAAGCAAAGAGACTTGACATAGAACATTCTGTTGACCTTGTATAATGCAGAACTCTATGTCCTTATCAAGGCCAAGTCATTTTCAACCTTGTATAAAAACAGCAATCAATCTAACTATTTATCAATCAAGGAGAGGACTCACATAGCACTATCTATTTATCTTGCCAACTGCTCTGTTAATATCAAATTAGTTTCTCCATTGAGAGTATCAATCACTCAAGGGTTTGTTCTCAACTCATTAGCATTTTAATTGACCTTGTTTACAGGGGAAATGAAGGGATTGACATAAGTGGTTGTAAAAGGGGTGGGTGATGGCCAATCTATATGGCTGAAATGTACAAACCCACTAATGTCAACCCTTACCATAACGTAAGCCTACATACATGTACCATTCTGAGCATGCAAGACACCTATTCTAAACGAATATTTTTTTTAAAGAAAAACTTTTTTGTAAACTTATTTATTTATGATTATCCTCTAACCTCATTTGTGCACTGGATTGTCAGATGTTTCAATGTTTCACGTTTTCACTATTCTGAGCCCACATGTCAGTTTTAGTGGCAGTTGTCATGCTGTCGGTAGTATTAGGCCATCTATTTATGGAATGAAAAATGATAAGGTAACTGAAGTGGGAGGGTTGACAAACGTCATAAAACCAGGAAGGGCTGTATAGTGCAGAAAAAGAACAATTAAAGTGTCAATTGGACCTATATAGCCATCAGCATGTTAACTAGTGCTCTGCCTGCTTGGCTGCCACGACAAGATATCTTGTGACAGGTTTTACAACCGCCGCACAATTGACTCTCTCCATATTTTTTTCCCTAAGATGATATAAAAAATAAGGGTGATGAAACAGTCACCCCAAAAATACATGATTTAGGGTACGACAACATATTTTCCCCTTCAGGAGACTGAAAAGATTTGGCATGGGTCCCCAGATCCTCAAAAAGTTATACAGCTGCACCATCGAGAGCATCCTGACCGGTTGCATCACCGCCTGGTATGGCAACTGCTCGGCATCTGACCTTAAGGCGCTACAGAGGGTGGTGCATCGGCCCAGTACATCACTGGGGCCAAGCTCCCTGCCATCCAGGACCTATATACTAGGCAGTGTCAGAGGAAAGCCCAAAAAATGGTCAAAGACTCCAGTCACCCAAATCATAGACTGTTCTCTCTGCTACCGCACAGCAAGCGGTACTGGAGCGTCAAGTCTAGGAACAAAAGGCTCCTTAACAGCTTCTACCCCCAAGCCATAAGACTGCTGAACAATTAATCAAATGGCCACCCAGACAATTTACATTGCATTTCATCATTTTCCTGCCCATCTCCAAACCCTTGTGGCTCATTGGAGTGTCATCTGAAATGGGGATACTAGTATACAGCAGAGGATGTGAGAATATGGCCTAGCCTACTTTGCAAAATGAATAAATACTGGAATAAAATACAGCCAGGGCATGCTGACTAGCTAACTGGGATCATTTATGTATCTAACAGTGTCCTGTGCTGTCTGTGGTGTATTTATTGTTTTTAAAATACTGTCAAGCAGAGGCCAAACCTTGTTTGAAGCCTAGTCTGGCAAACTAGATCAGATTCACTAGCCAGCTCAGCAGTAAGCTAACATTTACACAGAGACTACACATAAACACCCCCTAATGCTGCACACACACACGCGCATGCAAACAAAGCCAGTAGAGCCAGATAGAATCAGTTAGCTTGGGGACTCAGGTGTTTTTCGAAAGTGTTTCACTTTAGCCGAAACTGAGAAGTGGGCCTTATCCTTCAGTGGTGCAAAGGCTGTGGCAGTGACATTTTGTTAGGGGTTTTGTCCCACCAATTATAGGCTTTTTTATTAGTTTCACTCAGAAACAGTCAAAGTCCAAAATCCAACCATTTAGGAAGACTAACAGTTTACTCAGAGAATTGACAAATGTACACTAGCAAAACCCATCTAGTGCAGTAGACAGCATTGAAAGATGGATGGAAAAATGCTAAACAAACTAAGCCGTGGTGTCCAACACTTTTTAATATGGAAAATGACAGATAAGGTAAAACACATATTAGTTCACTTTTCTTACAAGAATTTAAAAATACCTAACTAATCACAACAATAAAACATATTACAGTTAAAACATCTATACACAGGCAAATGTACACAATATAAAACACATATATACACTCTTTCAATATATTATTATATAGAGATTTTCTTTACCTTTAAAAACTGGAAGCCAAGCAGCTTGAAGAGGGAGTGTTTCACCTAACTGATAACTATCACACTTGGATGCAGTGAAAAGTACTGAGAATATCACACCAAAACCAAATACATATGGATAGGTAGTATTTTCATTTAGTTGTTGGATCATCCCATTTAAGAAACATACATATTTTCAGTAAATATGACAACACAGAGGAACTAAACGTGGAGTGTTAACTGTTAGGTGCCAAATGATGATACTGTAAAGATCTTGTGTCTTAACTTTCCACAAAGGTCTCTGCACTATAATAGACCATTTTCACCATCTTAAGCCTGATACGCCTACTTTCTATGATTATGATGTCTGGCAGGGTTGTGTGCATCGTGACGTATTCCCAACAAACATGAAATATTTACAAAGATTATTTTTGATAAGCTGCCTTACAGACGACAACAACAGTGTTATGATGAATTTCACATTTTAAGCATCCTGTAACTGTCTTAATCCAATTTACAAAAAGTGTGAAAATGGAGAGAGCATTACACACTTAACCACTGACAGATCCCACATGATTGCATGCATTCAGACTCATACTCAATTAAGTGGCAGATGCTGGCAGCCATTGTGTATATGGGGGACAAGAAGCATTGGCATCCTTTTGAGTGCTAAATCCTTCAAATGGTTTAGTGACAGGAAAAGAACCACAACATTCACAAATGCAACAAAAAAAAAAACGTATCTGACTTCTAGGCACTCTTTCCTCAAGCTGGTGTCACTTCCACTTCGAGTCCTATTTTCTCTTTACAAGTCCTATTTTTTCTTTACAAAAGCAGCAGAACCAGGAGCAGGAATGTGACCAGAGTGGGGGTGGCTGTTGCCAGCATGTGTGACCCCCCTCTGTTGTGTTGGATACGAGGAGTCCTCGGAGAGTTCTGCTTCAGTTTGCTGGGAGGAAGGGCCTTCAGATCCTCCAGGGCCCCGTAGGCTGCCATGGAGAACTCCGGGTCCCCTGTGGTGAGCAAGTCAAACACACAGGACTGGAAGTACACGTCCTCCACCTGCAGGGTCTCCCTGCACTTGGCTGAGGCACGCTCCACTGTGTAGATCTGGTGTGGGGGCAGGAGGGGCTCCAGCTCGGGGTTTGACCCGGAGCCCGGGAGGCGGGGGTGAAGAGGCTGGCGCCCCAGCATGTGCTCCTTGATGAGCTCGTTGCGTGGGCACCCGTGCAGACAGAGCTGCAGCCCACTGTTCTCCTCAGAAAAGTCAAGGGTGTCCTCCGGCATGCGGATGGCGAAGGTAAGGTAGCGCCCAACCCGGCGCACTATGATGGACGTCCCGATGTAGCGGGCCTGGATCTTCACCAGGCGGCCCCCGGAGCCGCCCTTCTCTACGATCCACAGACTGCCCCCCTCCCCGCCACTCTGCGTGCCGTCCTGGAAGGCAGAGGGTAGGTCCTCGGTGGTGGCCTGGTACACCTTCTGCTCCGTACAGCCATGGTATGACTTGAAGATCACCGTTATCTGAAAGACACAAACAAAGAGATGTCAGTGAATGGAGGCAATTAAATTAACATCTACCTTTCTACTCTTTCAATAATACTGCATGAAGGTAAAATCTATTGAAAGCAGTGTCCTGCATACCGGTACACTGATTACTAATAGGTCTACTAAGCAGCAGAACCATCAGAAGCATTCAAAAGGTGTAATACCATGTTGAGCCACAGTATGTCAGCAAGACGTTCACTTTTTATGACAAGGGGAACAGTTCATTTCAAAGTTTGAAAACCCAAATTCCTGTCTTTCTCTTGGAAAAGGTATACAACTATTGTGTAATCTGATGGAAGGAAAGCACCGTGAGCAGAAATATTCATTATACTCTTTATTTTACAGTAAATATAGACTAGAAAACATCCACACATAGATGATGTCTTTGCCCATTAATTTAAAGATGATCTACCCCAAAAAAAACAACTAGGCCTACCCAATATGTGCCATCTAAAGCAAATATCTACGTAAATGTCATAAACCATTGCACATGTATGCTCCATACTTTTTCTTGAGAGAGTGCAGGATCAAACAAACCCAGCTGTCTGATAGGCCCATAAATCAGAAATACCTTCCACTACAACTGCCACAGGGTCTGGACTGCTCTCTGACAACTCTGGAGTCCAGCCTGGATTTATTGTACTAGGCCGACATTTCTTCAAAGCTGTTCGTCAAAGAGGTGGCTATGATTAACTTTATAGTTAAGGGGATACTGTTTTTGATGAACGATTTCCTTTCTGTACTGTGACAGTTGAAAATTGCCCCAATTCAAGCGGACGGTGGGGGCATGCGGGTGTTGGCACTGGCGCCCTGACTTACAGCTTTGCATTTCTCCCCTCATATGCACTCAAATTTCTTTTGAAATAGTTGAGTCTGAAATCTGTTCAAACGGTTCTCTCTTTAGTAGTGTTTCGCTTACTTTGAAAACGCATATGCAATCCAGCGAAGGTTATTTACTAAAGTCCTTGAGTTTCATGGATTTCAACAAACTCTGATATGAAAGAAACTTGCAGACCACAGTCAGTATCACTTTGTGGTCTGGGTAGTCCAAAACCCAATCATTGGTGTTGTTGCTTGTAATTTACATGAGCTGAAAATATCACTACTGATAAAAACAGATTATCTTAGAAAATAAGCAAATGTGGTAAGGTGGGCTAGCGCTAGTCAAATCGATAGTAGGCCTACTATTAAGGGTCTGCCAAGTGCTGTATTCATCCAGTGCATATCTACAAATAATAGGTATGGTATGGAGTATGGTCTTCAGTATGAATATAGCCAAAGAATATAGCCAAAGAACCAGACTTAAATTCAGACTTCAGGGATCAGATTCTATTAAGAAAAGCCTAACTCAATCAGTAGAATCAAAAATATGCTGCTTCTATCCAACAACTTCTTTATTTTCCAAATTATTCCATATTTACACAAAAAGGTCTGTTAATTATTTGACTAGAGGGATGAAAAAGTTATCCAATTGTGGGAGAGGAAAATGTTTGAGCAAGTGTTAATCACTACCATATGACTACCCATGTGTTAAAGGTAAAGCGCTCAAGCATGTCCCTGATCCAACCCCACTAAATGACCCAGTCTCTCCCCTGGTGTCTGGAAGAGGAAGGTCAGAGGTAGGGTCCCTGGAGGCAGTAGACACAGATTGAATCCTACCTTGAGATAGTATTTGTATATCTTGAACCATCGTGCCAATCTCCCTTTGACTTCAATGTATGACATACATTAAAAGTTCAGGTATCTTTGTTATGATTGAGCCCTACGTTTTTCAGTGTTTTACTGACATTACTGTCAGCAACATGACTAGATATGAACCCATGGCACAGCTTACCTTGCTGGTGGCGGTGGCGCTGGAGCCCAGGACAACAGGCACGTTGGTCACCTGCACCGACAGGTAGCGGTTATCGATGAGAGGCCACGCCCCCTCCACCTTGCACGTCTGGAATTCGTCGCGGAACGTCCGCAGGTGCGGGTCCCCGAATAATCCACAGTGGGCATACTTCTTCCCCTGGCCGGCGGGGCCCGAGGCCAGCACGCGGCTCTCGTAGTCGCATAGCTCGGACACGGCCGGCCTGGAGGTGCTGGGGGCCTTGGCCGAGGAAGTGGGGCCGTCGCTGGAGCAGTTGTGCTGGGAGAAGAGCTCCTTGATGCGGAACACAGCCGAGTGGTAGACCAGGTCGCCCCTGCAGCTGCGCGCTGTGCGGCGTGTACACAGGGCGTAGGCGCGCAGGGCGATGCAGTAGTCCACATCGGATGGGGAGTCCTCTTGGAGACCACTAGAGGGCGAGGTAGAGGCCACATACTCCGCATTGCAGCGCTGGATCCGGCACTGCTGGCAGTGTGCTGTTGGGAGAGAGGTGACAGGAGGCAGGTGTTACATGTTTATCATCGCTAAAGTCGCCAACAACCCCCCCATACCAGGTGATCAGAAAAATTAGGGGGAAAGTATTTTATTTACAATTTGAACCATTCATGTGTAAGTTGAAGCCAAGATATAGCTAGGCCTAGTTCGTGGTAGTGTATACGAATGTGTTTTGTGTCTCAACTCTTCCTAGAAAGAACATTGATAATGAAAAAACTGCTTAATACTACTCTAACGGCCATATAATAAAAAAATGTCCAATAGAAATCCCTCTTATTAGTCTGTTCACTGCCTAATAACTTTGTTATAGTGAATTTTCAGGGTTTAAACCTTGCAGCAGGACAGCCAAACTTGTGCACCTATCGAGTTTACGTCAATAAAGAGCTCATTAAAACCCAACTACACCAGCCAGCCCACACAGGCATGGTACCATACTATGTCTCAGAGCAAAGTCAGTCAAAGCTTATTTCCCTCAACTCACCCTCACAGAAATAACACAGTGCTTCACTGCTGGAGGAAGCCAATCTGTGTAGTTTGCTTAAGGGTGTTGAATATGGTTTGGCTGTTGCTGGGTCAATATGGGGGGCATTAAGGAACATGGCACATGCCCACTGTATACGAGGCTGAATTCAGACCCAAGAGGAACTGCACAAAGAGCCATGCTTGTTCAGCGTACAGCAACAGCTGGCCAAAGGCAAGGACGCAAGATCCAGTCAGGATGTTGGGATTGTATAAATTCGGCACTTCCTGTGTGAAGTTATTACTCAGCACTGTGTATCTGCCAGTGAATATGTTTGGGGGCGACAAGGAGACTATGTATTCCAATGTTTGAGGTTTTGAGAAGCCTATAGTCTTATCTTATCTCTAGATGCCAGGTGCATTTGCATGACATCAACTTATTGCCTCTGCCACCTGTGCAAGTGTCACAAGACTTCACAGACATTACACAAACTTCAATAACACAGCCTCAATAAGACTGAAAACAGAAATATAAAGATAATTTGTATTAACACTGACAGAAGATCTGACATAAGCTAATCAACAAGTCCTCCAAACTGTTTTAAACCCAAAGGGCATGATGAACTTGCCAATAATACAAATCTTGTAATATTTTTCCCAGACACAGTCAGAAAAGATCCTTGGTTGCAAACTGTGTGAATACATTCTCTAGTAACTGAAGCCCACATGGGTCTTGGCAACTGTTAATCAAAACTGAGATGAGCGTGAGCGGTCAACTCAGAAGCATTCTACCATCCCTCCTCTGAATTCCGCCATTGATCTCCCTGCAAGCACTGGGGTCACCGAGCTCTGCTATGATTGTCAGTTTTTGACAATCAAGGCCTATAGAGCTATCAACAACCATGTCTATCTCTAAAGGCTCTTTATGGCCAGCCTTTGACAAGAGGCAATGTGACAACCATGTGCGGAAAACATGGGAAAGGATTAAGAAGAGAATAGGACGAATTTGCATATCTAACAACATATTTCAATAGGCTTGTGAGAACAATTTAAGGGAAACAAAATAAGCTGAACTAATCTGTGGAATAGAGGATGGCTTTAGTAAGTAAACAAGGCAAGCATGGCATTTCCAGTGTTATAAGAATTATCTTCATCCTGCTATGTACATGAATACACCCAAAATGCACAATAACCATGTCATACAGTCTACCACATTATGGGGAAGTAATAATTAAACTGGGGATGAGCAATCGACAATGATTATTCCATGATTATTATGCTGAAGTACATTGAAAATGATTAAACTATCACTAACAACATAGGCTACTGTTTTGCAAAGCGTAAACTTAGCTACTTGAAATGCATTCAATTAGAATTCATAGCGCCCAACTTTATGTGAAGTTTATCTAATGATCTATGGGGAAAATTATCAAAACATTACACATTCACGTCTCAGCGCCCCATTTATTTGTTGACCTTCCCATTTCTACCACTCTTTTGTGGGTGAAACTTGTGTAGGTAATATTATGCGAGTTTTCAAAGACCTTCAAATGTAATTTAAAGTGAAAAAGAAAATCACAACACATACACACTTTGTTTCGTTAGTTAAATGCATGTTTTGGTAACAAAGCATCCAAACGTCTGACAATGTATAGCGCATGTACACAACAAAGCTCGGGCAGAATTTTTTTTTTTAAAGTTACTGTACGATGGACACATTCAGAGGCCAAGAAGTCTGACACCATGCCATGCATGGTAACAAATTAAACATGAACAAAACACAATCGAACGTTTAATTTTGCAAGGTAAACTAGCCACGGCATTAAAAGTTGGTTAGCATGTTACGTGTTAAAACGTTTTAGCCACTTGTTGCTACTTTGTACAAACAACATGTTCAAATACAATTTGCGAACGACGTGAATAGGCTATCAAGCTCAATGCTAACGATCTTTATTTGCGGACTTCTACAAGCTCGAACTTTATTCTAGACTTTGTGTGTGAATACAGTATCGTTAAGTATAACTACGATCGTGAAAACAATATACATAAATGAAGACTGCTCGGGATTAATGTTACATGACCGATTTAGCGAACCTAGCTAAAAGTTTGACCAAAGTAGCTCGTGTTGTCTAGCTAGCTAGCCAGCTAACTAGCAGCAGGAGCCTGTTGGCTCGCGACGATGGCTGCTAGCTGCCTGGTCTAGGCCAATGACTACCGTTATATTTGAAGGTCTAGGCACACAGCAAAAGCCCGCTGATTACCGATTTCACTTGTAGCTATTTACTGTTTGACAGTTACTATAACTACATTTACATAAATATACTGTAAACAAAACACACTGCCATATTTTTGTTCATAACTATTTAAGAAAGCGATTGTTTTTGTGGAGAAGTCTCGCTCATCTCTCGCACCATTTAGCACTGCCAAGAAAGTTTTCCATCATCATTCGGGGTGCGGGGAAAAATGTTTTCCATGCACACAGGAGAACAGACATGAATGTTGCCTTACCTGGTCTGAGCAGCAGCAAAAGTAAAACCATCGTAAAATTAATAGAGTTCCAAAGCTGCCGCTTAGCCAAGTTTTGAGGTCCGCTTCTCCCCATGCCAATCCATTCAGTTAGAATGGAGTTCTTCGACTGCTGCTCATCGACGCTGTAGCTGCATGAAATTAGACACAAATTCGTATATTTTCCGCTGCGCTGTCATTCAAAAGGGGTCCAGTCTTCAGGGCGGCTCTACATGGGAGGGGTCTAACAGAGTAGACGGGGATCTGGGGTGGTTGTTGGCCAATGAAATACTAATTATTCGTTAACCACTTGATATTTACATATGCGGACATTGGGACCAAGCCAATGGAAAGTGTTTCTAAAGACAATGAAGGCGGTGCAAAAAGTTTGTTATGTAGTATTTGGGAGGGAGTTAAAATAATAAGTTGCCGGTCAGCATAAACTGATGATGAAAATTATAATTTTTCTCACATCTAATTACAGCATGATTTTTTTTGCAGCCAACGTTATTTATCTCAATGCTGAAATAGTGAACCTCTTTCAGGGGAGAGTTTGAGATAGGAGTTGTAGCTCTGTCCACATAACATGCCCGCTCTGTCCACATAACATGCCCGTCTGCACTATAACGCATTCAGCTTTGGCAGTTGTCCTGTTTGAGCTCCCTGGGTCTATCAACAGAGTTGCAGAGCAAATGCCCAATGCAAACAATCCTGTTGTTTCTCTGCTCTAAGCATTACATTACTTTCCCCACCTGCTGAAGAAAATTCTCACCCAGGAGGACAATGGTGTCATTAATGCCTAGCTTTGCTATTCATGCTAGGTGTTACATGGTAGTAAACGACTCTAGGTTTGAATAACAGATGTGTTACATATATCAGCATGAATGCATGAAGGGAGTGAGCTTGTCATGTCAAGATACTTTTGTCGCTTTGCTATTATGCTGAAGCTTTGTAAGGGGAGGCAGGTCAGGTCATACATGTTCAGAGGTGACCTGCAATAATGTATGCATACATATGGGTTTGCATATGGAAAATTCCACAGTAACAGAATGATGCTGAAATGTACACTACATGGCCAAAAGTATGTGGACTTCCCTTCAAATTAGTGGATTCGGCTATTTCAGCCACACCTGTTGCTGACAGGTGTATAAAATCGAGCCCCCGCCATGCAATCTCCATAGACAAACATTGGCAGTAGAATGGCCTTACTGAAGAGCTCAGTGACTTTCAACGTGGTACCATCATAAGATGCCACCTTTCCAACAAGTCAGTTCGTCTGATTTTTGCCCCGGTCAACTGTAAGTGCTGTTATTGTGAAGTGGAAAGTCTACGAGCAACAACGACTCAGCCGCGAAGTGGTAAGCCACACAAGCTCACAGAACGGGACCGCCAAGTGCTGAAGCGCGTAGTGCGTAAAACCGTCTATCCTCGGTTGCAACACTCACTACCGATATCCAAAATGCCTCTGGAAGCAACATCAGCACAATAACTGTTCGTCGGGAGCGTCATGAAATGGGTGTCCATGGCCGAGCAGCCGCACACAAGCCTAAGATCACCATGCGCAATGTCAAGCATCAGCTGGAGTGGTGTAAAGCTCGCCTCCATTGGACTCTGGAGCAGTGCAAACGTGTTCTCTGGAGTGATTAATCACGCTTCACCATCTGGCAGTTAAACGACGAATCTGTACAATTTTCAGTGGAAATTGTTTAAAGTCATCCTTGTGCATAGACTTGGTTTGTTTAACTTTGCAATCATTGGTTTTTGTTTGGCAAACATTTTAAATTGAAAAGTCTGAGTCTCAGCATCACTCTGTTACTATGGAATTGCTCATATGTTACCCTGGATGTTGTTTCATACTGGAGGTCACTAAGCATTGCCAGAGATGGTAAATCTGGTAAATATGTGGCATTTCCCCCCTAGTATTACATCTCTATAAGGATGAACAGCTTGTCATTTCAACACTCACAATACAGGAGAGACACCTTTCCATTAATTTTTTTTTCTCAACTAACCTCTCTGCTATTATTTTTTCCATTGCATTTTCAGTTAGCAACTTGTATGTTACTCCTCTATTTGTGGCCAACTTTCCATCCCTTGCCTCGAACGACACTTCGTCTTTCATTTGCACAGCTGCAAAGCCGGGCCATCTGCACGGCGCAGTGCTTACAGAATCACTGGGTTTTGATGCATGACCACCACAGTGTTTCTGTGGTTCTCGTGTCATGTGAGTGTACGTTTTTTAATGGACAACCAATTTCCCAATCAAATATTGGTGTAAAGAAGATCAACAATCATACTCTGCGTAATTTCTTAATTGGGTTTAAAACTGAATTTACTCTGAAAATTTGGACATTCTGTGCACTGGGCGGCATATCTCTTTTGACTTTATTAGAAGCAACTGCACTTAGACAGGTATTGGATCACTGGTTTCTTTTCACACATGTTGGCTCCTCTGGCCCACACAATTGTGTGATGCAGGTGCTCTGTCAGTCTTGTTGTCACAACTTCCGCAGAGGCTGCCTCCCCTCCTTGTTCGGGCAGGTTTCGTCGTTCGTCGCTGCCCACGTTCGCACTGACCGCCACCGCAGGGAGGTCCCGATTTTCGTACCGGGGGATCGGGTCTGGCTCTCGACCCGGAATCTACCCCTCCGCCTGCCCTGCCGGAAGCTGAGCCCGCGGTTTGTGGGGCCGTTTAATGTCCTGAGGAGAATAAACGAGGTTACTTACAGGTTGTTACTCCCCCCTGATTACCGTATTAACCCCTCGTTTCATGTGTCTCTCCTCAGGCCGGTGGTAGCTGGTCCACTCCAGGAGTCTGAGGTGCGGGAGGTTCCTCCACCTCCTCTGGACATCAAGGGGGCCCCGGCGTACTCGGTCCGTTCCATACTGGATTCGAGGCGTCGGGTGGGGGGCCTTCAGTATCTCGTGGAGTGGGAGGGGTACGGTCCGGAGGAACGGTGCTGGGTCCCAAGGAGGGACATCCTCGATCCCTGCCTGTTGAGGGATTTCCACCGTCGCCATCCGACTCGCCCTGCTCCGCGTCCTCCTGGCTGTCCCCGAGGCCGGGGTCGGCGCACTGCTGGAGCCGCGCGTCAAGGGGGGGGGGTTCTGTCACGACTTCCGCCGAGGCTGCCTCCCCTCCTTGTTCAGGCAGGTTTCTGCGTTCGTCGTCACCGGCTTACTAGCTACTGCCGATCCCATTCTCATCACTCCACTTGTCATGTCTTGTCTTGTCAATCACACACACCTGGTGCTCATTCCCCTAATTAGTATGTGTATAAGTGTTCCCTCTGTTCCCCTTGTCTTTGTGAGTGATTGTTTATTGTGAGAGCGAGTAGCTCAAGGTGGAAAATATTCCGTTGTTATAGTTTCGTTTTCACGCTGGGATCATTTTATTTATGTAAACGGAATAAACTCTGGACTTCAGTGTTTTACCTCCTGCGCCTGACTCCTTCATTCACACCTCGCCACACTTGTGAAAGGCCCTCACAGTCCTTGTTGATGTGGGGTTGATATACAGCGTCTTCGGAAAGTATTCAGACCCCTTGACCTTTTCCACATTTTGTTACGTTACAGCCTTATTCTAAAATTATTTTTTCTCAGCAATCTACATACAATACCCCATAATGACAAAGCGAAAGCAGGATTGTGTCGAGGCACAGATCTGGGGAAGGGTACCAAAACATTTCTGCAGCATTGAAGGTCCCCAAGAACACAGTGGCCTCCTTCATTCTTAAATGGAAGATGTTTAGAACCACCAAGACTCTTCCTAGAGCTGGCTGCCCGGCCAAACTGAGCAATCGGGGGAGAAGGGCCTTGGTAAGGGAGGTGACCAAGAACCTGATGGTCACTCTGATAGAGCTCTAGAGTTCCTCTGTGGAGATGGGAGAACCTTCCAGAAGGACAACCATATCTGCAGTTCTCCACCAATCAGGCCTTTATGGTAGAGTGGCCAGACAGAAGCCACTCCTCAGTAAAAGGCACATGACAGCCCACTTGGAGTTTGCCAAAAGGCACCTAAAGACTCTCAGACCATGAGAAACAAGATTCTCTGGTCTGATGAAACCAAGATTGACCTTTTTGGCCTGAATGTCAAGCGCACAATTGGCCCAGCGTCGTCCAGGGTAGGGGAGGGAATGGCCGGCAGGGATGTAGCTCAGTTGATAGAGCATGGCATTTGCAATGCCAGGGTTGTGGGTTCGTTTCCCACGGGGGGCCAGTATATAAAAAAAAAATGTATTCACTAACTGTAAGTCGCTCTGGATAAGAGCGTCTGCTAAATGACTTAAATGTAAATGTAAATGGGTGGCAGCATCATGCTGTGGGGATGTTTTTCAGCAGCAGGGACTGGGAAACTAGTCAGGATCGAGGCAAAGATGAATGGAGCAAAGTACAGAGAGATCCTTGATGAAAACTTGCTCCAGAGCGCTCAGGACCTCAGATTGGGCCGAAAGTTCACCTTCCAACAGGACAACGACCCTAAGCACACAGCCAAGACAACGCAAGAGTGGCTTCGGGACAAGTCTCTGAATGTCCTTGAGTGGCCCAGCCAGAGCCTGGACTTGAACCCGATCAAACATCTCTAGAGAGACCTGAAAATAGCTGTGCAGCAACGCTCCCCATCCAACCTGACAGAGCTTGAGAGGATCTGCAGAGAAGAATGGGAGAAACTCCCCAAATACAGGTGTCCAAGCTTGTAGCATCATACCCAAGAAGACTCGATGCTGTAATCGCTGCCAAAGGTGCTTCAACAAAGTACTGAGTAAACGGTCTGAATACTTATTTAAATGTAATATTTCCGTTTTGTATTTTTTATAAATTTGCAAAAAATTAAAATAAACAGTTTTTGCTTTGTCATTATGTTGTATTGTGTGTAGATTGATGAGAAAAACAACAACATTTAATCAATTTTAGAATAAGGCTGTAACGTATAAAAATGTGGAAAAAGGCATGGGGTCTGAATTATTTCCGAATGCACTGTATCTTTAAATGGTAGGTAGCATAAACATAACCACATGTAACATATGGATTTGCATTAGTATACACATCAAAGTCCCAATGCAAAGTTATACCTCACTTTTCTATTTTTCGAGTTATAATTCAGATCAGAATTCTGAAGAAGGCCGAAGTCATGTCGGAAAATGTTTTTCCAGAATGTGATGTAATATGGAGGACCTGGCAAGCCAGCCTATTCCCTATAATGTAAACTCCTACAGAAATAAC